ACAACTTTTAATTAATTAATCTGAACTATTAATTTAATACAAGAAAAAGTTATAAATAAATATATACTGCATTTCTGTTTATAATAAAAAATATAAATTAGTTTATTATATAGTGCAAGAAGCCTAGAACTAATATCACATGACTTTTATAGCCAAAATTCCAGGGTATTACAAATTATATGATTGATTAATTATCCAATTAAATTTCACAATTCAGTTACATAGGATTAGGATATGATTGGTCAAATATAGATTTAGTGCCAAATTAGTTCTTTTTAGATATTGCAGAGATAAAATCATAATTTAGCTAGATCTATATAATTGTGAGTACTATATAGAAGTTTATTCAAGACAATGGAATTTTAAAGTTAATTATGACAGATAAGAGATGTAATAATGCATAAAAGCAAATGAATAAATAACGATAAGATTTGATCTGTAAGATCGAACCTATACTTTATTTTCTTGAAATCATTTATGAGTGTTAGAATAAGAAGCAAAATACTATAATAAAGTGAGTGCAAGACATAGCATAAACTCTGTGAACTTAGGTCCAACAATATATAGATCCAGAAGCCCTGGTATTCATAAGGCCATAAAGTAGACCTGTCATATATTTTATAAATCTCTGATATTTATAAAGTTATAAAATCATAAAATAGATCAGCTTATTTTTTTTTTCTAAAAAAAAAAAAACCTCTCAATAAATTCTTAAAAAAAAAACACCAAAGACATTATAACAAAATTGTGTAAAGAGATTGCAGCTTTAATTTTTATTGGATTTAACTCATATTAATCATGCCTCCTCTAAATAAAAGAAAATGCTATCTTAAGGCTGCAAGAAAATTAAAAGCTAAGCATGTGCATTTAAAAAAAAATAAAACAATACATCAATTTAATGATTTATTAGATTATAAATCAGTTAATAAAGAACTTGATGATTATATTTAGATGAATGAAGAAATCAATGAAAAAGCTGATAGTTACTTTGAAGTTTTACTAGCAACTGCTAGAAATAATAATTCTTAGAAAGTTGTGAGTAGACCTACTTATAATTATAATAATTCTGGAAAAACATTAAGATGAAAAAAAGCTAAACTAAAAAAAGCAGCACAAAATACAAAATCTATTACTTTCTACTTATCTTTAACCAATTCTTTAAGGTTTAATATTGCTTTGACATCTACTTATAAATTTTTAGCTGTAGATATAGCAGTGCAATTAATGGAGACAAATTTAGTTAATAAGGCTGTAGATACAATAGTAATTAATAAGGATGAAGATACAATAATGGTTGATAATGCTATAGATTCAATAGTTGAATTAGTGAAAATAAATATGAATGATGATAAAGCTTGTATAAAATGAGCAATTAAGAAATTAGACAATATATTAGAAAAAAACAGTAAACAAATTGATAAAGGAACTAAGATTTGTTTACAAGCTGCATTGCAATATTTGTATTTGAGATATCAAGATTGGATCAAAATAAATTTAAGTGTGATGATTGCTAAGTCATTAGGCTAGAGAGCTAACAAAAACAAGATGTATTCATACATGAGGTAATGGGTAGTTGAGATGGTGAAAATTACCAAAAGAGAATCATGGCAAACATATAAAAATAGCAAGCCTTATTGATGATGAAAAAATATCAATAAAGGTAAAAAAAAAAAATAAAATAAATAAATTTTTTTATTTTTAAATGCAATTCTTAATTATTAGTAACTTATTAAAGATTCTATTTTTAAATAAATAATGTCATATTTATGATGCAATAAGTTTAGTGTGAACCCCAAGGTTCTAAAAGAATTTGTAGAAAATGAAGTTTTTCCATCTTTAGGCATTAAAAAAAAAACAACTATAAGTGAAAGAACCATATTAGAATGGCTTAAAAAGTTAGAATAGAGTTATAAAGAATAAAAAAAGGATGTATATGTAGATGGGCATAAATAGAAGGACATAGTACAGTACTGACAAGAAGTTTTTTTATCCATAATGGCTGAATTAGAACCTCTTCTTATTGAATATGATGAAAATAATTTAATATTAGTTAAAAAAATATTCCTCTTAATCAAAAACTGCATTGTATAATAACACATGATGAAACAATATTAGTCACTAATAATGATAAAAAACTGGATGGGGGTCTATAAGTTTGTGTTTTTCTGATTAATTTATTTGGTAGACTTATTTTTAATTATTTATTTAAGTTTTTTTCAAATAGGTGAACAAAAATTACATCCAAAAGGATGAGGCAGGTGTATTCATATTAGTAAATTTTTATATAAACCTTTGGGATGTGTTTATTTAACTGTAGAGCAACAATTAGCCTACTCAGAAATTCCAAATAGATATGTTACAGAGATACTTGAAGTTGGTGTAAACTATGATGGTTATTGGAATGTTTAGTTGCTTGCTGAACAACTTAAGCAAACAATTGATGTTTTGAAAATTGCATTTTTAGACACAATTTTTGTATTTGCATTTGATAATAGTTTGAGTCATAGTGCTTTTGCAAAAGATGCATTAGTAGCAAACAGAATGAATATAAAATATGATAGCAAACAACTATGAATGCATCCTGGTCGATTACTTGATGATATATCTCAAAAAATGATTTTTCTACTTGATTATAAAAATATGAAAAAAAGAAGAAAACCAAAAAAAATAAAACAGGTAATGAAAGAAAGAAATATTTGGGATCAATAATTAAGGAGTAAATGTATTAAGTGCTTAGAAGATTAAGAAAAGATCTGTTGTAACATAAGGAAGTTAGCAAGACAGCCAGATTTTATGAAACAAAAAATATTCTTGAAGACATTGTATATAGTCTAGGTCATAAAATTATTTTTTATCCTAAATTCTATCTAAAATTAAACTATATTGAGTATTTTCGGGATGCAATAAAAAAATATACAAGAAGTTATTGCAATTACATATTTTAAAGGTTGCAAAATATTGTACCAGAAGCTCTTGCTTCTGTAGACATTATAACAATCTGTAAGTTTACAAGAAGAGCATGGTAATATATGGATGCTTACAGAAAAGGATTATCACTTGCTGCTGCTAAATTTGCTATAAAAAAATATAAATCACATCGATGGATTCCTAAAAACATTGTTTCTTAATTGTTGTTACAAGTTAGTAAAATTGCTCTTAAGTACTTTAAATATTATTTATAATTGAATTTTTTTATTTTTGAAATATAGGTTTTTTCACAATATTTTACTTCACAAAATTCAATTAAAAAAAATTATTTTAATTCATTAAAAATTAAATAATCTAATAAGTAAGTTTTTCAATATGCAGTAGTTTAGATTTTTTTTTTTATAAAGTTACATTGTTACTAAAATCTGCATTTCTAGTATGTTATGTGATATTCTATGTATAATGATGCAATTAGAATCTAAAAAAAAATATAGAGGAAAAAGAAAAAAAATAAAAAAAATAAAAAAAATAAAAAAAAAATAAAAAAAAATAAATACATTTTGTTAGCAAATAATTCAGACAATTAATAGTTAAAAATACATAAATTTGAAGTATTTAACAAGGTTAACAGAATATGGTTTGTCAAGTTTAAATGAATGCACAAATAAAAACTACACTTCAGGTAAACACAATCCTAAAAAATGCAATAAATTGATAAATAAATCCAATTTAATATTGTTCATATTTTGCTATTTTATTTTATGATCATAGATTGCATTTATAATTAACAGATATTATAGCACTTACAATTACTCAATAATTAAACAATATCATAATTACTAGTTTGAAGGCTACTTAAAATATCTTTTAGAAACTTTAATAATTATATTTTGCTAATATAGCAAAGTGGAATTTGTCTAAATTTATTTGAATGCAAGATAAAAAAAAAACAAACAAAAATAATAATCCTGAAACTTATCTGAGTTTAATCAGATAAGATAAAATTTAACTTAAAAATATATACTGTTTAATGATCATAATATTAAATAATGAAACCAAAAATGATGTTGACACAATATAAATAAAAAATTAATTAAATAAGTTAAATATAAAAACTTAATTTGCAGTATATTATAAGGCATGGCCAAATTCGAATTGTTATATAAAAAACACCAAGATTTTAATAGCTAATAACATAAGTAATAATAAGTTAAAATGAAAAATCTCTCTATAACATTGTAATTCAGGTTCTAAATAATTAATCTATAGAGTGTTTTTTTAGATAGATCATATTTTTATTGATTAGATATAATTTTATTTATATATATTGTTGTAAGTTACATGATGTTAGTTCTAGACTTCTTGTATCATATAAGTATTAGAAATATGCTATAAAGTCAATACTGAGGTCTAGATGAACTTTGCAAGAATAAGTCCTATTAACAAAAGACTAAATATAAGTAGTTAGTTAGCAAAAAGACTCTTTGAAGCCCTACATTTAGATAATATTCTCTGAAATATGTAATGACTTAACAGATATACAGACAGAGAGATCAAGGTTAGATTAGATAGCATTTCATTATACAGAAACTTGTGTGCTATTTGTTAATATAAATATAAGAATCAGAGTGATTAAATAGGTAATCTTTTAGTAGATTGCAGGTATGGCAGCTAGTATAGAACCTGCTATATAGGTGGACTATTTAAAATAGACAACCAAAAGTTGTATATGTAGTTAGTTGTAGACTCATCTTGTACAATTTATGTAATTATAATTAAAATACAATAAAGGCAATAACCACTAATAACTATGGCTTTAGCAAAAGCAAAAAAAAAAGTTTTTTAAGTTGCTCTAGATGCATAAACATAATACTTTTAGTAAATCAGTAAGATACATGATAATTTTTAACAAAATATTTTTAAATTTTTAAATAAAATATTGTTTTTAAAATATCTAATTTTAGATTTAAATTTCCAATAAGATGATTTTTTATAGGCTTGCAAATCTTATATTTAATGTTTGTTACTTATTTACAATTTAGATCATATATATTTGTAGTAAAACTTAACTTGATTGCTGCATATTCTTTAATAGTAATTGTAATTGCTAGAGGTATATAATTTTTTATTGCCTCATTTTTAACTAGAGTTTTAATAGTCTTTGATTATTTTATCCTATTATTATCTTCTAATATATGTTGTAATTTAAGGAATTCTTATATTGTTCTACTTGAATTACTTTTGAAGCAATTAACCAAAAAACTTTTATCTTTACTTAATACAAATTAAAGAGTCTTTTCTTTATTATTTGACATTTTTTTTTATTTAAAATATTTTTCTATTGTCAGATATTTAAATCTTAGTATTTCATAAAACAGAAACCAAAAATCTTTTAAATATTACTATTTATATACTTGTACAAATTCTTTTTTGTTCAAATATTTGAAACTAATGATTACTAATTATTTTTAAATTTATTTATTAGAATTTCCAATGAATCTTTAATATTATAAAGAAAACTTAACTTTTTATCTGACAAAAGATTCAAAGTTAATATAATAATTTAAAAAGCAACATTTATAAAAACCAAAGATACAGGCTTGAAATTTAAAGAGATAACAAATATAATAGTTAAAGAAATAGGAAATATAATACCTAAAGGAGTAGCAGACATTACACTTGAAGAAATAGTAAATGTAACTCTAAAAAGAGCAGAAAACACAACACTTAAAGAGATAACAGACACAATAATCAAAAAATAAATATAAGGTTTTTTTTTACTTTTTTTCTTATTAATCTTTTAAAATATTATAAAAAAGATAGTTAGCATTTTTAAATATTATTAACAAAACAAATATATTAAAATACTTATATAAGAAGTATGGTGATTTAGTGAATGGTCAGATTGTCAATTCTTCAAGTAGTAGGTTGGATATTCAAATCCTATTGACAGTAAAAATTTAGATAATTACCTATATAATATTTGTATTACAGCAACTATTACTAATGATTAGGTTAAGATACCTGTAATAATAGTTACACTAGCATAACTAACAGGTCATGAAGCATTTGTGTAAGTATGGCATTATACAGAGAAATGCAAATTAACAAATTTGGCAGTACAAACACTAGATAAGTCCTTATGGCTATGTAAATCTGTTAAAATTAAGTAACAAGAAGTTCATTTAAGAAGATCGAAGTAGAGAAATAGCTGAATCTTTAATGGTTCTACTGTAAAGACTAGCTTAGAAAAACAGATACCAAGGTCATAGTATCTGATCATAGTAGCTAAACAGACAAAAAACTTTGAGTTAGAAGTCTCAAAAATATTACTAATCAGACTGCTAGAACAAATCAGAGAAAAAAGATATCAGACTGATCTGATATACTAATAGACTGATTGTAGTTCTACACAAGCTATTTGAATTAGAAGTTTGGTAAAAAGACAGATAAAAAAACAGAGGTATACTAAAGTACTGAGGTTATATTATGAAATAGATGCTAGAATCTAAATGAACTCTACAAGAACATAGCAATTTAATGGTTAAGCCCTAATTGCAATATTGGTTCTGTTATAGTAATACCTAAGTTAGTTGTAAAAATAGATACAGAAGACTTTGAAGAGTTTACTTTGAGGATAAAATAGTTCTAAGATTAAGACAATGATCTGAACATCTGAGTATAACTTAGTGAGTTAATACAGATTACAGATTAGAGGGTTTAAAGTCAAATATTCAAGCAAAAATATTAGATATAGCAATTGATAGAAAATCTTTAAATAAACTTTTTAAAATAGGTAATATGGAAAAATTATATATATAGCCAATTGTATGCTTTTCTGTAGTAGTTTATTGAACTACAATACTAATAAGTAATTAATAAAAGTCAAAAAACCAAAAAGGTTATCTTAACAAAAAAAAAACTTATATACAAAATATAAAAAACTTAAGATTTAAAGATATGGTATTCTAGTAAAATGATTAGGTTGTCAACCTCCTAAAAGATAAGTTAGATGTTTAAATTTAATTAATAATAAAAATTGAATAATCACTTATGTAATATTTATATTATGATAACTGTTACTAACAATTGGGTTAGAATACTTATAATAATAGTTATATTAGCATGACTGGCAAGTTATAAGATATATGTGTAACTTATTATATAAAGAAATACAAACTGACAAATTGGACAATGCAAATACTAGATAAGTTTTTGTAATTATATAAATTTGTTAAAATTAAGTAACAAGAAATCTATTTGGAAAGACCTAAATAGAGAGATAGCTAAATCTTTAATAATCCTACTATAAAGACTAGTCTGGAGAAACAGATTCCAAGATTATAGTACCTAGTCATAGTAGCCAGATAGACAAGAACCTTCAAATTGGAAGTTTCAGAAATACTACCAACCAGACTGCTAAAATAAATCAGAAAAAAAAAATATCAGGCCAACCTGATATACTGATAGACTAATCATAGTTCTACATGAGTTATCTGAATTAGAAGTTTGATAAAAAGACAGATAAAAAGCCAGAAATATACTAAAGTACTGGGTTATATCATAAAATAGATGCTGAAGTCTGTGTGAACTTTACAAGAACATAGTAGTTAAATAATATAACTCTGGCTGCAAATGTTGGTTTT